GGACGTCAACTTCCCCCAAGTCGACACCGTCTATCTGAGCTCTTGCTGCGGGTATCCGCCACTCTGCATCGCCATCTTCGATGTTTTAGTTTTCAGGTCTACTTTTTCTGTACTTCATGCGTTCAGCTCTTTCGCCAACTCATTTTACTCGCCATATGAATTATGTCATATAAGAAACGTAAGTGATTTAACTGGTTTGCCACTGATATCCAGGCCACCATTCCAATTTAACTCCCAAAAAAGCTCAAGCCAGATTGTGAAAAGCCCAGACGATATGGGAGCTCCTTGCCTCACTTTCCACTCTATCAGTATATAGTTTGAAAAGAAAAAAGGTAAAAAAGGTATTATGTCTATTGAGCAGCTGTCATATTAAAACATGTTGATATCATGATTGCCTGATATCATATAACAATGGGCGTAATAACAAAAGTAGCATATTCTCATAATTATCTGTAATGAGCACTGAGATAGTTTTTTTGATGTGATTAAGACAATTAGAATTAGTAAGAACATAGTCGTCATTTCTATCCCAGCATTCCCCGCTTGATCTTTTACCTCGTCACTTCGTTACAGTAATTAATAACTTTCCAACGATCAAACTTGTGGATGGGTTAGTTTGCTAATTATGGCGATTGGTCAGCATGCTGCCGATGTTCTCTTCATTCCCTTGTTCTCTGACTTCGTACTTCTTGATAAATCAGCCAGATGCAACACGCAGCCTCCGTTATTTGCGTCGTTCTTCAGCTCATCTTCCGACAGTCCTTACTTACCCGCAAAGGCTGTAGAAGGAAGTATCCTAAGGAACATGGAAGTTCCCAAAATTCACAAAAATACCGTAGTAATGCGACTAAGATCTGGATGAAACCATTGCAAAAATGTGACTTATTACCTCTGCCATTACACAATTAAGCGTACTTTACGAATGCAAATAAGCTTGCTCCTTGCTCAATTTTATCAACTCATTGAGTGCGCCGAACGACTGGGTGCAAGGAAGTTGAGAAAGCACAGGCAAAAAAGTCTTTACGTAGCTTCTTTACCGTTACGAAATGAGACGAATTCCAACTAGAGGAACTCGGAAAGCAATGCAGGAAGATCATCCGCACGATTACGTACTGGTATATGGATAAAAGCAAGAGAAACAACAACAGGAATATTACAGGAGCAGAACAGAGGAAAATAAAACTGGCCAACGCACCGGCTGCCCGTGCGAAGATGCGTTTTTTGCATAGTTACTCGCAGTTTTTGTAGCTACCGGTACTGATTTTTCCGGCAAATGCTTCTAGCTAAACAAATTAAGACTGGCCGCCAAAATTGTTAGAAAACACCCCCTCAAAATTTCAGCTTTCTAGCTTTCCAGGCTCCCGAGTTACCAATTTACTCGAGAACTTTCACGCAACCGCACATGGGTACCACGCATACCCGATGTCTGGGTTTGAGCTCATTAACACACACTTGGATGGGGAACATCCCCTTAAAATTCTAGTTCACTGGCTTCTCAGGTTCCCGAGTCAGCAACTTACTCGAAGAAAACTTTGGCGGACCACGCATATCCGGTGTCTGGGCTTGTGCTCGTTGAGACTTACGTGGGCAGGGAATATCCTCTTAAAATTACAGTCCTCTTGCTTTTCAAATTCTCGAGTTAGCAGCTTACCTGAAAAAAACTTTGGCGGCCCACGTGTGGGTACCACCGCGCATACCCGGAGTATGGGTTGGAGCTTAAAGAGACTTAGGTGGATGGGGAATATCCTCTTAAAGTCTTCTAGCTTTTCAAGTTCTCGGATTAGCGGCTTATCCGAAAAAAATTTTGGCAGGCCTGTGCGTGAGCACCATGCACACACGTGGGCTGGATTTGAGATCACTGAGACTTACGTGGACGTGGAACATCATCATAAAATTTCAGCTTTCTAGCTTTTCTGGTTCCCGAGTTAGCGACTTACCCGCAAAAAACTTTCACGGGACCGTACGTGGGTATCACGCTGGTAAGAGTGCCCATTTTGGAGAATGGAACCCGTATGTGCATGAAGATTAATTTCCCAAAGTTTCAGCCCTGTAGCTTTTGTAGTTCTTGAGATGAAAAACCGTGACAGACGCATACACAAACAAACAGACACACGTACACACAGACAACCCCTCGTCAATATGCGTTTTCTGCATTGCATAGCTGCAAAAAACGCATAAAAAACACATACCTCATCATCACGTTCAAAACATTTCCCAAAATATTTGGGCAGGCGTGATTTCGCCGTGACTCCGTTTATGAAGGCCGTCACTGTTCGTTGTTGCTTATCAGTTTCTGCAAAAACATTCTCGTCCG